TAAATGGTGCCAATTTTTTACAGTATGGACTAAGCTACTTTTGAAGACACTGGCAAGAAAGGTGGAGATTCCCGATGTATACCCAAGGGAAAACTCAAATTGAAACAATTTCTAGGAGATGCATGAAGGGTTAGCTCCTGAAGGTAGTGAATGTAAAATGACATGGAAATAAATGGGGATCAGCATATTAGTGTGCTTCCTACGCTATTAATACACATTATGGTACAAGTCTTTCAAAAATACACACCTATGATTACGTGACTTAGGTGGTGTTTGGAAAGTTAATATATGAACTCACACTTAAGGATTAAAATTTTGTTTCATATTGGCCCGTATTGGTCAATACGTATTATATTGGAGTCTTCCCGGTATGCCCTTACAGGGGTGCAGAGGGCAGATCGGCCTTAAACCGTCACCTCTGAACCAGTTTTATAAAAAATAAAAAAAAAAACATAAAAATAATACCGATATAGTCTTACAGACATATCAGTATGGCCATGTGCAGAATTACAATTGATTTTGGCCATGTGCAGAATTACAATTGAAAAGTTATAAGGGTGGTAAGATGTGGCCATGTGCAGAATTACAATTGATTTTGACCAATATTTGAGTTTTATATCATTCTAGAAAATCTTACAAGTGCAAATTATACACTATTTAATCATTTATTACTAAGGGATTAAATCGTGGCAAAAGTACAAATTATAGCCTTTGATTGTAATTTCCAAATTTATGATTGTTAGCTTAGATATCAAGGACAATCAGACGAAAATTACTCTTTTACCACTCTTAGAAGAGGAAGTCTAATTGGATAAAGAAACCTGATTTAGGCTTTTTAAAGTCTTCAAATGGAAATGAAAGTTTCACCCTCCAGCCTGGAGTTTTGGCAATTGTGAAGACTAGGAGTAAACAGAAAAAGAGTGAATGTTTGTATAGCACTAATAATGTTTTAATTTCTTTTTTTTTTTTATTTTTTAACGTTGATATTAAAACTTTTGAGAAAGATATTTAACCTATAAGCTTTCAATTTCTTTTTGAGGGGAATATTTCCTCAATATTTCTTTTTTCATTTTAGGGTTTTGAGTTGCTTAGAAGTTATCATTCTCCAAACTAAGGGCCATTTTATATGATTTAGGGAAATTGTCTAAAACTCACTATGAGTTTTCAGCATTTCTCTTAAACTCACCACAACTTTTCAAAATGTCTAAAACTCACTGAGTTTTCAGCATTCATCTTAAACTCACCACAACTTTTCAAAATGTCTAAAACTCATCATGTCACTAACTTGACATTAAACAGACTAAGGGGGTGTAAATATATTACCATTTTAACCTTCATAGAAAAATATAAAATATATACATAAATAATTAATGGGTGTTAATATATTACCATTTTATTCTTTAGACATGAAAAAAGGAAAAAGCTCAAAAATATTTTCAAATATAAAATACACAAAAACATATAAATTACAAAAAAAAATAAAAATTATAAAAATTGAAAATAAAATAAAAAAATATTTTCAAATTATAGAAACTATAGAAATTGAATAACAAAATCAGAAAATAAGAATTGTAGAAATAACACCAAAAATTATAGATAAAAACATAAATTGCAAATAAACAACAAAAAATACAGGAAAACTTATAGATTGTATAAAATAGAAAATTATAAAAAAATAGAAATTATAAAAAATATTGGAAATTATAACAAAGCACTAAAATGCAAAAAAAAAAAAACATGAAAATTGAAAACTGAAAAAGACCAATTTTCCTCTAACTCACCATTCAAGGGTAATTTGGTCATAAAAATTATTACTTTTGCTGACATGGACACCTCTGTTAAGAAGCATTAATGGTGCACTAATGGAAGGTGAGTTTTGGAAAATAAAAACTTACTGACATGGTGAGTTTTAAACATTTTGAAAAGTCGTGGTAAGTTTAAGAGAAATGTTGAAAACTCATGGTGAGTTTTAGACAATTTCCCTATGATTTATTCATTATTTCTTCATGACTCCTGAGTAGAGTCAACTCACAGGTTATAACTTGGCTTGTATATATCCAATTTATTTTCTTAATTTTTAGGGTAAATTGCTGAAACCTTTTCTCCAGTTTGGTAATTGCAATCACCGCCCCTGAACTTTCTGACATATCTATAAGTAAACCCCCTTTAATTTGTTAGAATATCCTAAAAAGAGGCATGAAAATGTTCAAAATACCCATGCAATTACTTTTGATCAAAATGATTATTTTCCAAATTTTCTTTTCATATGAATCCTATATCAAATCCTTTCAACCTCTTTTCTGAAATTGTTTATTTTTCAAAATTTTCCATCATATCAATCACTCAAAGGCAAAGCTGCAACTTTAAACTTTCTCCTTTCTATTGTTGTTCATAAAATTTGTATTGGTTTTTTCTGTAGAAACCAGTCTCAATTACCCAATATTAACTGTATGAGTATTTTGGACATTTTTATGCCTCTTTTTAAAGAATTCTACGAGAGGGGATTTACTTGCAGCTCTGTCAGAAAGTTCAAGGGAGGTGATTGCAATTACCAAACTTCAGCAGAGGTTTCAACAATTTACCCCTGTGCAAAATCAGGAATGAATTAAAGGTCTAACCCAGTAATGTCCAAATTCAATCTCAAGAGTGGTAAAAAGAACAAAAACAGAACCACTTTAACCATCGGTTTTTAGGTCAAACAGTCCAACCATCTGTTTCAAAGTCTGATTGGATGGTTTTGGGGTCCAAAAATCGGACCCAAACTCATGACCAGTTCCTGAGTTAACCGGGCTGACTGTCCGGTCCGGTCCGGTTTTCAAAAGCATATTGCTAAATTGGACTGCCAAATCCTATATATCCCAGTTCCAATTCTGTTATGATACAAGCAGTGCCATTGAGATCAATTCCTTTTATTTTCATGCATGTACTTTGATGGGCCATGTTTTTGAACGTGACTCTCTGCAAAAATCCAATTCCATCGTCCCTTCCAAGGTAGCTGAGGTCGCTACGGTTCTAAGGAGAGGCGACAACCCTCTTTAGTCATTATATGTTATAGGCTGGTTTGTCTTTGTCCAGAGTCCAGTGTATAGCTTACGTTCACAAGCTAAAGCTAACCGTGTGGGACCGCATTTCCTAAGTGTAAAGCCCAAGATGATTCATTCATGCCTATGCACACTTCAATGAGAAGCTTCATTTGGATGTTTGTATTAAATTAGTCCTGATTCCTTAGAAAAGGGCAATTTTATGTTATTTTATTTAGGAAGGCTGTGATTGGTTTGATAAAAACCAAAATAGAGAAATAGAGAACTTTCAGTAGTACAACTTTATGTTTATCTCTTATTGTTCTAACAAATGAAACATAGCCCAACTGAGAAGATTGTTTTTTTCTTTTCTTAATTATCTTAAGAAACTGAATTTGATTAAGACCTGACCTGGTGTCTAATCTGGTTTAGTTTTTTTAGGGTCCTTTACTAAAACATCCCCTATAGTTTCACATATTTACTAAAACCTACCTTTTAATTTACGTTTTACTAAAACTCTCCTTATAGTTTGCGATCAATTTACTATCCATATTTTTTTATATTATTGTCTGAAAACGGTAACTTGACCATCTATACTGAGTGAAAAATGTTCAAGGGCATGGGCTTATGTTATTTTATTCTGAAATTACCTCTAGTACATCATATTGAGCTTTTAAAATGAACCATTAATTGTTTGATTTTCAGATATAACACACAATGTTTGATTTCTGTAGACTGAAGAAGAGAGAAGAGTGCATATCAAGCTATTAGTTAATTTGCAACGTCATGTCTTCTTCAAATAGCCAGAGAATAAAATTGATCGAAAAGAATTGTTGCCCATGTTTTACTAGGGGCAAGAGTGACATTTCCAGCATTTATATTTTCTGTAGATTATATTGTTGTTCCAAACAGATCCTAAGGTCAAATATATCATTTTCCACTCCAACCTAATGGAAGGTCAATTAAGTAAATCAATTGTAAACTATAGGGAGTATTTTAGTAAAACACAAGGTATAGGTAGGTTCTGTAAATCTATAAAATTATAGGGGGTGTGTTAGTAAATGGCCTTTTTTATTTGACTTAAATTATATTGGATTTGTGATTAAATTTGAATTACGATAAATTTCTATTTTCCTCCACATTATTTTTGTTATAGCCAATGCTAGCTGTAAAACTCGGAGTGAACATAAATGCGCTCATTGAGTCATGGTTGTATATCGATACGCCTGATACACCGGTAGGGGCGTATCAGGTGAATCGATACCCTTTTTTATTTTATTCTATTTTTTTTTCGAAACCGATTCAGGGGGCCGGTTTAGGGCTTCTGCATCCCCTGAACCAATCAGACCCTCGATACATCCACTGTAGGGGTGTATCAGAGAGGTCCCGGAATGATATGTATTAATCGATATGGCCCGATACGTATCGATACTTTAAACCTTCCTGAAGACAACTCGAAGCTAGCTAGAAGGCTGGATTGTGGTGTTTCTTATTCTCATTCATTCAAGGAAACAAATCAAGCTATGAATTGGATGACACATCAATCTTTCTTTTCCCTTTAGTGCTCTTCCTCTTAGTATTCTTACTCTTCCTAGTGCTCTATTATATATATGTTTGAATGATATTTGAGGCCAAGCTACCCAGCCCCCTCTTGTTTGGCTGCTCCTAGTTTTACCAAAAAAAAAAAACAAGAAAACCATTATTTGACCGGGACCCAAAAAGGTCACTGGTCACTGATTAAAATCTTACAGCAGTAGTTATAAATACAAGAAAACCATTATTTACCAAAAAAAAAAAGTCATGATAAGTAAAAAATGAAATATATTGGCAATGTAATTCTCTTGATTCACCCAATAAAATGCTTTGGTATATGGAGTTATAAGATAATGTTCTATAACTGGTGGAAGCAAAAACTAGTTATAAATAGCTATCAAATAGTAGTTTTGTTAGTTAAATTGTCTATCAAAAGAAGAGACAAGCTTAAACAGCAAAATCAACTCTCTAATTAGCATGAAACCATGTATAATCAACATTCTTTGGCCATAGGTTTACACTGGGCATCTCTTACCTTGAAATTGAACCATAGTGAAAATAAATGTCCAATAGTAACAACAAAAGATTAAAAAAAAAACTGAATCGATATAATATGAAAACCACATTAGGGTTTGAAGGAGAAAGATGAACCACTAAGTTGGAGTAGCCCAAGAGCCTTGGCCAGCCTGAGAGTTAGGAAGCACAAGTATATAGCCAAGAGCCCAACACCCAAAACTTTATCAAGCCTCATTTCTTTCCTGGGAAGAATCACAAGCGCCCAAACCAAGCCAGCCATTAAAAACCCAAGGGTCTCGTAGAGAAAGGAGTCCTTGGGGATGACAATAGAAGATGGATAGACAGACCATGAAGAAAAAGCAAGTGACAGGCCCAAGCCCATTAATGTATTGAAGATGGGCCCCGCATAACAGCCCGAGATGGCGACCTGGGTCCCATCTGGCACACTATTCACTGCCATTGCAACATTGGAGATCAAGTCCCCAAGTGAGTTACCCCAAGCAAGCACAGTCAGTGCTAGAACAGATGGGCTTATTCCAAATACAAGACCAAGTGAGAGCAGCAATGAAACCAATTCCTGAGCTGTGATATAAGTCCAGGTGATGCTCATCATAAACCCTCCTGTAAGCCAAGGGAGTAAGCATTTCTTTGGTGGGTTGGAGCTCTCAGTAGTCAAAAATGCAATAATCCCCAAGATAATCCCTGCCAAACAACCAATTATATAGATCACTACTCCTGTTCTGGTACCTATATTTCCCCCTTGAGAGTTCCAAAGGGAAGCAAAGAGAACTGGCGCCAATGTAACTGAAATAACTGCAAAGGGCTTAGACCAATTCTCCTCACTAACAACAGGGATGGTCAACCTCCTTGGTAAGTAAAGTGGAAGCTCTAGAATGAACAGAAGCCTACTAATGAAGTACCTTGTTGATGAATCAAGGACAGAACACCTCCAGCCTATTGGATAATTCTGATGATTATTACTTTCTTCATCAAGACCTCTCTCAATAGGAACAGACTTGTCATCATCAATGTAACTCAGTAGAGGTGCGTCCAAGCTGCTGGAGGCTGGTAATGAAGGAGATTTTGTAAAGAAGTTCACCTCTCTGTCTTTCTTTCTGCAGAAATGTGCTGTGCAGACGATCAACACATACACAAAGTAGAGAGAAACAAAAGCCATTGCACCCAGAAAACCGATCCTTCCAATGCTCACAATCACAAGTAGAGAAGAAAGAGATACAAGGTAGAAGACAACATCTCTTATGAAGCTAGACCTATCAATGGCTACCTGATATGGGCTGACCAATATGCTTATGATTCCGACCACTGTGCTAGATATGAAGAAGGCTCCACCCAAAACACTGTTGAGCCCAACCTGACCAGACCCAGCTCCCATGAAAGAGACGATGCTGGCGAAGACATCTGGTGCACCATTTCCTAATGAAAGCAGAGTTACACCAGCTATAGTAGGGGAAAGCTCCAAGGTTTTTGATAGTCTCTCCAGGGAATAACAGAAGTAATTGGCAGCTGTGTTGCCCAGTAAATAGAACAGAACTACGAGCCAGAGGATGAGAATGGTGCAACCCAGAAGAGGGTATCGGCCACAGATGCAATAGAAGATCTGGAGATAGTTTATGTAGCCTTTGGGCTGGCATCCCTTCTCTGATCTCAAGTATTCGCACTTTTCTTTGTAAGTGTGGTACTGATGAAGGCGATTGCAGCCATTGCCGTTGGGTTCATCTAGGATTTCTGGACAGGTGGAGATGAGGCTGGGTCTTTTTAAATTCCTCAGTAAGTGATCAGAACTGGAGAGAGAGAAACGGGTTGAGATTGAGATGTAGAAAGTGATGAGAAAGAGAAAAGATATGTTGAGGAGAAGAGGCAATTTCTTGCCATGGGATGAAGATACCAACTTTTCCATTCACCTTAGGGAGGTTCTCAGAGGTTGAACTTGAAGATCTGCAATGGATGACTGTTGAATTCTTGGGTGATGAATAAAATTAAGAATGTTTTCCTCTCATTGTACCAAGAACAATGAGCGAGAGAGAGAGATGTTAAGGAGCCATAGAAACTCCAATGTCCCATGGTTTATAAAGAAATAATATAACGTATATAGGTGATGTGCATTATATTAGCCATGTGGCATCAGCCTCACCCCACCCCTTTGTTGCATGTTTTTTTAAGCTTAGTTGCATCATAGAGATTATTTTCATCTATACCCTTGGAATAGATAGATGTAAGGGAGAGGCGGTTTCCTCTCTTTGAAAGATTTCAAGCCATCCCAGTCCTGATGAAGACGTCAGTAGTACTGTGTGGCCTTGGTGAATACTGCCATTGTTTTGAAAACCGGATCAGACCGGACGGTCGGACCGCTTGACCTGGGAACCGGACGGTCTGAGTCTGGTTTCTGTCTGATGATTTAGGTTTGGATCAGACGGTCGGACAGTTTGACTCAAGAACTGGTGGTCAAAATGGTTTCATTTCCTGTCCCGTTTCGTTTTCAAAACCATGATTCCTGTAGGCTTTTTCTTGAGAAACTAGGTATCCATTATTTTCATCTAATGGATATCTGAATTCAATCATCATTTTCATCTAATAAATAGAAAAAGGAAAAATAAATTCAACATGGACATGTGTTTATGCCTACAAAATGTTGTAAGTTTAAAAATATTCATCAAATTATTTTCAAGTCATTTTTCATATATAGTATACAATATCAAAGTCATTTATTTATATTCAAGTTAAATTTAATATTCTTCTTTTCAGTTTAAATTATTAATGATATTCAATATCCAAATGATCCGAGTAGAAATCTGAATGTGCTATGGATCCAATCCCATTTGTGGCCCTACCCCATTTGGCTTCAATTTCCTTGGCGTATTCCAATTTATGAAAAAGGTACCTTATTGTTTGTAGTGCAATTTCAGTTGCACTAGTACAAATGCAGCGGGAGTAGTAGGACCTCCGGATCATTTTTTTTTTCTTGGAGTTTTTCCTTTGCTATGGATTTTATTTTACTTCACATGTCCTTCTCCAAACCCTGATCACTAGGGATAAAACAACTGAATTGAAGCATATGATTTGTTTCCATGGCTCCATCTTGAATTAGATGTTCTTGGTGGAAGCCGAATTTCCAAATTTTTTAATTAAAAGTTTTTCAGATAATAGATCTACATAAAATAGAGGAAAATTTTAGAATATAAATAAATAGTTTAAATATATTTTGATATAATATATAATATTTAATGTAAATAATATTCAATATCGGGGCCACGGTGATGAGGGAACTTCACTCCCCGCCCCCACCAAGGCAATCTCCACCCCTGATCCCATTGGAGACAGGGAAGATTGTCATCCCTAAAACCAAAGCAAAGGTAAAACCCAATTTGCATCTCATACTTTCTCTACAAACAAAAAGGAGCATATAAAGGACTAAAATGAAAATAACTTTCCTTTGGGTTCCATGGGAATATACAACAGGGATAGCCCATCCCAAACCCATAACCTCCATAGCTGCAATTTAGGTTGGGTTGGATTGGAAATTTGTTAAAATTTTAAATGGGCCACCTGAACCCTAACCCGAGCTTGACGTAGTTGAAATTACTAATCAAATTGGGCAACCCACCTTGCGCAGCCCTAATAACCCCCCAACCCTGGTGAAGGGTATGATTTAAGATTTCATCACAAGTCTCTGCTACGACCAGCCAAAGACCTTACCAATTGACCCAGTTGGTTGGGACCTTATTCCTCTTGATTTGGCTTGCATCAAAACTCTTCCATATCATGCTATGTTTGGTTCCATTGAAATATGAGAAACGAAATGTCAAGTGAAACCAATACAACGTCAAAGATAATCATGCATGTAGGACATCACCAAGTTGGATGATCCTCACCAACTAATGTGGGTATGCTTATTTCCTTTTTCTCTTTATTTATTCTTTTGAGAATTGCTAGTATATGCAAATAAATAAATAAAAGGTTTTTTATATAATATAAAAATAACTGAGTTACACACCCACCGTCGTAAAATGGCAATTTGGCATGCTTCCCACTTTATTATCTTAGCTCCGAGAGGCTGAGGTTTTCCTTTTTCATTATATTTTCACATCAAGAATCTTTTAGTTTTTTTCTTAGGCTCCGTTTGGTTTGTGGGATGGGAACGAAATATTCCCCTTTTCTCTCATTTGTTTTGAGGGAAATAGAAGAATGGGATGAGAAAAATATGGGATGTCAGATCCCAAAATCTTAGATTTGTGATCGCACCAAAACCGTGCGACCCTGGGGGAAAAATTTGAAAAACCACTGTTAGAGAACCAGCGACGACAAACATGACACCCAATTTGATTCATTTCAAATTAAAATGGTTTCACACTTCAGCTAAATTATCACAATATCCATCTCAAGGTTGAACACGCTTAATCTTCCAAGGTTCTCACATGCTCATGAGGAATACTAATCAATTTCTTTCACTTTAATGAGCAATGTTATTTCTTACACACTTCAAAGCTATTTTCTTTAAGATTGAATCCGTTTTCCTAAAACTCTACTTAGGTTTTCTGACCTATGATGTTACCTATTCTAGCCCACAATCCTAAGACATGTTAGGGATTCAATCTTTATAGCAAACTAAGTCAAGCAAGAATTTAATCATACTTCTAAACCTAGGGTAAAAGTTCTCTAGGATTTGAGGTATTAAAATCCCTACTTGCAACCAATTTAAGTAGGATTAATTCCTATAAGGAATTTGAAATTTCAAACTTGCATGTAGTACAAACTAGCCTTTTGCCTAAGCTAGGCTTTTGAAATTTTAAACTTTCTAGGAACCATGATTAAAGATTCACATTTCATCAAAGGGGATTGATCTTATTACTCAAAGAAGGAGCTCAACATTCTCATTTTCAATTCACTTATCCAAAACATGAAACAAATGATCAATTTACATAAAATTTACTAGCCATATGCTCATAAATAATTTAGTTCAATGTTCGTGTAAATATCAATATCAATAGAGTTCATGTGAAGCATCCAACACTTGGGCTCCATTTGGTTTGTGGGATGGGGATGAGAAAAAGAGAATATTCCAAAAATATTCCTTTTCCTCTCATTTGTTTTGAGGGAAATAGAGGGATGGGATGAGAAAAAAATGGGATGTGGAATCTTAAAATCGTGGATTCGGGGATCACACCAAAATAGTGCAACATCCCGGTGGAAAAACTCGAGAGCAGCAATGAACCACCAATGGTCCCTTCCCCTTGTCTCTCCACTCTCTCTCTCTCTCTCTCTCTCTCTCTCTCTTCCTCTCTTTCTCTCTTCTTCTCCTTCGTTTTTCGTTTTTGCTCCCCTGTTACCATCGAACCAAACATTGTTCATTGCCTTCCCCATTCGAACAAAGGAGGCAGCGGTGGCAAGAGAACCAATGCGAGGGGCAGAGGAACGACAAAAATCAGTAAAACAAATCTCCTCTCTTCGAATAGGGGTGGTAGAGGAACGACGATCTCCTCTCCCAATCTATTCTCTGTCTCTCTATCTTTCCCTCCATCTTCCTCTTCTCTCATCTCCCTCACCTTCTTCTTCTTCTTATTCTTCCTGTCTTCCTCACCGTTTCATTTCTTTCTTTCTCTAGTCGCCTTTGCAATTCTCGGCAGCGGCGATCTACTTTCTCAGCACTCCTATCTTGATCTACTCTCCCGATCTGCTTTCTCCTCTCCCAATTTCCTCGCCTTATTTTCTTTCTCAGCAGCGGCGATCCGACGAAGAACTAGATTGTGGCGGTAGTTTTCCTACTATTTTCCCATATGTAAAACCAAACAATGTAAAGTTAAATTTTTACACCTTCCCATCCCATCCCATCCCATCTTTTCCCATCCAACCCAAATCTTCCCACAAATCAAACAGAGCCTTATAGATTCATGGTCCTAGGCAAGATGTGACTTAAAATAGATTCTCATGTTTGAAAGGGAAGCTCTTAGATTTCCTAATTATATAACTTTTGCCAAAATTTCACATTCCTAAGACCAAGAAGAAGTCGAGCTCTCAAGAAAACTTTGCTTTTGCTTTATCCAAAACATTTCAAAGAATACAACTATTTTCTATGATCCACATTTGAGTCTAGCACAATTTGAATTTGGTGTCAGAACTCAAATAAAGCATGATAAATGCATCTAGAATTAAGGTAGTGTTTGGAAATGATGCAAATAACTGTGAATGCAAATATGTAGAGTGTAAAACGGTCCATATAAATTGCAAAGTTGGGTTAGTTTTGCACTAACAAATTCACCTTCTTACCAAACAGACTTTTAGCTGTAATGGATGCAAACACAAATTCCAATAAAACACATGCCTTCTTTTATCAAAAGCCCACTCAAATGCAAATTTACTTCTTTCTTATTGATGTACTTTTACATCTTATTATCAATGTAAATATCCATTGGAAAATGTATTTTCTGTCATTTGTCACAATACATAAATATAATGTTGCCAAACACAGACAAAAGTGAACCAGAGTACAAATTTACCCTGAACCAGGATTTACACTTCATTTGCATTGTTTCCAAACGCAGCCTAAATGTTAACAATACATCATATCATTACTAGAGATGGTAATTGCTATCTAACCATTTAAAGCATAACTAGCAAGCAAATAAAGAAAAGATTTAACCAATCTCATTGTAGCTAACTAATCTTCCTTTCTATGTACACATCTTGACTTTTATTTTCTTTAATTGACGAAGACCTTGCACTATCAATGCAAGATTCTCTGAGTTCTTTTCCCCCCTTGTTTCCTTGTTGCCACTTGCTTGAATGATTCACCCTCCATGTAAATCTCCCTTCTAGATTAAGGGTTGAAACTTGGGCTGATATTGTACTTTGTCTCCTAGATATTAAGCTAATCACTGGAGAACTTGCTCTAATACCATTTATTTCCTAATTAGCTTAACCCAAGAGGGGGTTGAATTGGGCTTTTTTCTTTTTCTATGTTGATTGAACTCCTTTTATAACTTTTGAATTTGAATATAATGTTGTGGAGAGGTAGTGTTGCTTAGAACTGAGTAACCAA